GCTGTAAGTAAACCCTGGCTCTGGTGAGGTGGGGCCAGGAAGGCTGGAGAAGTACCGGGCAGGGCCGGCAGAGAGCCACCTGGGAGCTGGAGTCTGGGCTGGGCTGTGCAGAGGCCGCTGGGGGAGGCAGGGGTGTGGGACGCTGCTCCCCAGGACCTGGAGCACACCCGAGGACTCCGCACACCCGAGGACGGGGACTCTTCCAGGCAGGTGAGGAGGGTGGGCCTTCTTTTTCCCCCAGAAGCTTCTCTGCTTCATGGAGAGGTTTCTCTCGGGCTCCTGCAACAAGCAGCTCCCGGGTGGGAGCTGAAATCAGGTTTCCTCTGCAAAGATTCCGCCTGCCTGGGACGTTCCAGACCCACATAAATCACGTAAACGGAAGCAGGCCCGCATTTCTGCATTCAAAGACAAATAGCTTGAATACTTGACACTGCCCGTCCCAAGCCCGGTGCCCCGCAGCCCGGGAGGACTTGGGCGTGTTCTGGGCAGAGAGAGCCCAGGGGCCACGGGTACCTACGTATTATTCTGGTCACCTTTGCACTAAGTGTGAATTTCATTTTCTTCTCTCTCTCTCTCGTTACCCTGTACTTTTTTTTTTTTTTTTTTTTTTGAGACAGGGTCTTGCTCTGTTACCCAGGCAGGAATGCAGTGGCACGATCATGGCTCACTGTGGTACGATCTCGGCTCACTGCAACCTCTGCCTCCTAGGTTCAAGTGATTCTCCTGCCTCAGCCTCCCGAGTAGCTGGGATTACAGGTGCATGCCACCGTGCCCGGCTAATTTCTAAATTTTTCTGTAGAGACGCAGCCTTGCTCTGTTGCCCAGGCTGGTCTTGAACTCCTGGGCTCAAAAAGTCCTCCCACCTTGGCTTCCCAAAGTGCCAGGATCACAGGTGTGAGCCACCACGCCCAGCCTGGTTACCCTGCTGTTGCTGCCTTCAGCTCCGTGATTGCCTTGATACAGAAGTTCTACCTACCCTGTTTCAGGCCTTTCAGAAGAGACAAACGCAAGCTATGCCTCTGGGGACACGTAGGCAGAGCTGTGGCTGTTAAAAGCTGAGGGCTGGCACTTGAAACGAGATGGGGGAGAAGTAGGTTATTTCACATACCATTTGGGTTGGAGGCTTTGCAGGGCGTTTCTGCCTGGGAAGGAGAACAGTAACAGACGAAGAGACGAGGAGGGATTTGGGGTCCACCGGAGGGGGAGTTGCCTGTCATTAAAGATGCCCAAGGATTTACTTTCCTCGGTGAAAAAAGACCCCACAGGATTCAGTGAAACCTCCTACGTGTGCCCCACGCGAGGCCTTGCGGGGTACCAAGGAGAACACGCCGCCCAGCCTTCGAACAGCGAGACCGAGCTGCTGGGCAAGGACCTGGTGCCTCGTCAGCACCCAGCGCGTGTGTGTTGGACGAGGCCAAGGAAACTGAAAGGTGCTGTTGTTGGTCCTGCTGAGGACAGTAGCAGACGCTTAGCTCTGTGACCAAGTGGGGCGGCCCCCGGACGGGGTCCTGGGCAGCATGTCCGGGGTCACTGCTCCTCAAAGAGCACAGACGGGAAAGGCTGCGGGAGTCTCAGCAGGGGCTGGAGGGTCCGTAGAGAGCCCAGGTGTAGAGGCAGGGGGGAAAGAGGCAGGTGAAGGAGGTGACGGGTTCACACTGTTGGGCCTTAAATTTCAGGCCAGCGAGGCTGGACCTTATTCTTATTCCGTGAGGCGCTTTTTAAGACAAGATTTTATTGGCGGGCTGGGCGTGGTGGCGTACTCCCATAGTCCCAGCTATGTGGGAGGCTGAGGCAGGAGGATCGTTTGAGACCAGCCTGGACAACAGAGCAAGACCCTGTCTCTACCAAAAAATTTAAAAATTAGCCAGGCGTGTCATTCTAGTGACTTGGGAGGCTGACGCAAGGATCACTTGAGCCCAGAAGTTGGAGGCCGCAGGGAGCTACGGCTGTGTCACTGCACTCCAGCCTGGGCAACAGAGCAGGACCCTGTCTCAAAAAGAATTATTGGTGCCTAACCGATTACACAGTTCTGGTGAGTGGCAAACTCTTGATGGTTCAGTTAGTCCCGTGAAGGAGTACTGGACACCCACCGTGTCTGGGCATCGGGGTATTGGGTGAAGACCCCGGGATGTGGGCAGAATGAAGTGCCGACGGGAGGGAGGTGGGCTCAATCGGAACGGGGGCCAGATGGGGGGAGCCAGAGAGTTCCCAGGGGAGGTGCTGCTGGGCCACCCCCAGCTGGGGGAGGTGGACAGCGTGAACCAAAGGCGTTCCAGGTGAGAGGTGCCGGAGACAAGGCTGGGCAGCTGGGGCGCATCCAGGTCCTGGCGGCTGGAGCGCCAGTTTTGCAGAGGGGTGAGGTGGCTGCTAGAATGGAAGGTGGTTTGTGCCAGATCATGGACGGCCTTGAGGCAGCTTGGGCTTTTCTTCCTTGGTAGTGGGGAGCCGCTGAAGGTGTTTGAGTGGGGGAGTCACACAGCCAGACCTCTGGCTGCACGTGAAGAGGGGCACCTGGAGCCCCAGCAGGTTCCAAGGCAGATGAGGAAGACTTGCCCCTGTCTGGGCAAGAGAGGAGGAGCGTCGGAGCTGGGAGGAGGGGGAGCCGCCGGGAGGAGGGGGAGCCATCGGGAGGAGGGGGAGGGAGGAGGGGGAGCCGCCGGGAGGAGGAGGAGGGAGGAGGGGGAGCCGCCGGGAGGAGGAGGAGGGAGGAGGGGGAGCCGCCGGGAGGAGGAGGAGGGAGGAGGGGGAGCTGCTGGGAGGAGGGGGAGCCGCTGGGAGCAGGCAGGCCTGGCAGGGAGCCCAGGGATGAGGGAGTTGAAGGAAGTTTGTGTCAGACACTGGTTTCCCCAGGGCTCCTGTTTCAACTCCGGAATCCACTCGAACCTGCTCGGTGCATAATCAGCCCGCGATGTCTCCGAGTAAGTGGTAGCTTTGGGGTTTAGACAGGCCTTTGAGGCTCCCTCTCTGAGTCTTTTATCCTCCCAACGCGGCCTGGCAGGTGGAGGAAATGGTGACGTCTGGGTTCACCTTATCTTGCTGCTCTCCTCGTGTTCCCGTATCGTAGTAACAGAGCAGATGTCAGGGCTGTTGCTAAGGGTTCCCTGGGATGTTAATACCTTGGTGTTGAACGGAGGCTCCCACACGGTGTCTTCGAGGCCTCGGGACACACCGGCTTGGTGGCAAGTATCCTTTTATATTTGTCCCGGCTTCTTTTCCCTCCTTTAAACCCGTCTCCTCCCTGTCGCCCTGGCCGAGGCACAGCGCCCTGGCGGGATGGCAGACTCACCCCCTCCACGCTGGGGGCAGACGTGACTCACAGATCACAGCGTCCTTTCCCACGGAGGCCGGAGGCCGCCTCCAACCCCTCTTCAACCCAGCCCTCTGGGTGCCAGATTTGGCATTTGGGACGAAGCCTCTCTTCCAGCTCTGCAGAGGCCACTGGGGAAGGCTCCAGGCCCTCTCCGCGGGTACTTCCTGTGGCACCGGGCACCGGGGAAGGCTCCAGGCCCTCTCCGCGGGTACTTCCTGTGGCACCGGGAGGGTGGGGAGTGGGTTTTGTTTGCCTCTCGCGTCTCCTGTTTGCCTCCCTCGTCTGGTCTTTTGGCCTTTGTACCACAAGTGGAAAATCAAACTCTGAATAGTTCTGGACACTGAGGTCAGGGTTGGGATTTTATCTGCCAGATGCCATTTTTATCCATTATGTGTTGCTGTGGTAACACTGTGTGACAAGCATACCTGCCCAAACCTGGGGGTTTGCGACCTCCATTTATTACCAAACTCGGGGGGTTACGACCACCATTTATTACCAAACTTGAGGGTTTGCGACCTCCATTTATTACGCCTCCTCAGTCTATGGGCTGGCCGGGCCGTTCTGCTGCTCTGGGCTCAGAGGGCACCGGCCGCCCAGGGTGTGGAAGACGCACCTGAGCCCTCTTTCTGTGGCCAACAGGAGCTGGCGTCCTGCAGCGGCTGGTGGCCCGTGTTGGCCTTTGCATGGGGGTGTCCCTCCTAGGCACAGCAGCTTCCCTCAGCCCCTCCATCCGCCGCCTCTTCCCCACTGTGCGCCGGGCATCATTTCCTTCATTCTCACCGTGGAGACGGTCTGTGCCGGACACCTGCTCCCTCATGCCCGGGCCTCCTCTGCCACCGTCGCCCCCGAGTCACAGCGTGGCCGTGCCCGTGGGAATGCGTTTCTCTGGGGGTCTCTCATGCGCGTGACTTCAAGGCAGACCCCGGCCAAGCAGATCCGCTGGTCTCAGGGGCTGGGATCTGCTGCCCTCTCCCCACGGGTGGGACCCTGTGGCTGGACGAAAGCGCGCTCGTTCGTGCCGCACCTGAGGGAGTGTGGAGGCTCAGTTACCTCCGAACGTGTCCGTGAAACGAGATGGAGGCGGTGAAAATGCCAGGGTGTAAGGTGGGGAGTGATCACGGCCTGGGGGGAGGTGTGGGGAGAAGAAGCCGCACGTGGTGGGATGGTCGCCCCGTCCCCGTCCCCGTCCCCGTCCCCGTCCCGCCGCAGCGGACGCGCGGGGGACTCTGGGGTGTTTCCAGGCTTCTTGGAGGCAGGTGGTTTTGCCCCCGGATGTGTCTTTCAGTCTGATGTGTGTCAGAGACTGACGGCTGCAGGTGGCTGGTGCTTTCCTCACTGTGCTGAGGCTGTGGCGGGATTTGGAAGGTCAGGGTTGAGCCAGTTTTCCTGGAGTGATGACTATTCACGCTGCGTCCTAGTGCGGACGGGAACGAGCTCCCGAGGCACGTTTTCGGGACCCGCAGGCGGGCGGAGAACAGTCGCTGGAGGAGGGTCACGTGACCGGCCCCAGCCACGGGCTCACTCGGGGCGCTCAAGCCGGTGCTGGCTTTACCAGCCTCTGAGCCCACAACTGCTGCTGAGGAGATAGAAGGCTTCTTGTCAGTAGATGCAACTGTTTGCGAAGAAGAGACTTTGTTTTTTTTGTTTTTTGGTTTTTGTGACTAGAGGATCGTGACCTTATTGAAACCATCTAATCGGAGAGCCACAGATTAGGCTCCCAAGACGCGGCTGCCGCCAGCAGAATTTCTGTGGCGGACAAGTCTGGGTGCACTTTGGACAAGACGCGGCTGCCGCCAGCAGAATTTCTGTGGCGGACAAGTCTGGGTGCACTTTGAAGAGGGCAAGCATGAGGCCTGCCGCGGACAGCTCTGAGTGGCTGTGAACGTGGCTGTGGAAAAGGTATCTCAAAAAATACACTTAAAAAGTGTACGAGGAAAATTGGAAACAAGCCGTGTGCTCCCCACAGGAAGATGGTAAAGCCTGTCGTATTCAGAATACCAAGTTACCGTTTAAAATCCTATTGTTAAAGAACTTTCATAATGTGGGAAAAGTACAATGTGGTTACAAAAACCAGCAAGCAGTGTATGTAGTAAGAACCCAGTTTTATTTAAGATTTGTACATAATGCCTAGGAAAGGTTGGAAAGTGCTACATTAAGGTGTTGAGAGTTGCCATGGGGGTGGCTGGCGCCTGAATTTAAGGTGTTTTCTTTTTGGGATGAATATCCCACAGCCCCCAGGAGCGACCGCGTGAGGCTGCATAATGGCTGTGGCTGCGGCTGCAGCCTTTGTCTGCAGTGACTGATGCCCGGGGTGGTGAACTCTCATGGCTGTCTCTGTGTCTGCGGTGGTGTCTGCAGTGGTGTCTGCGGTGGTGTCTGCGGTGGTGTCTGCGGTGGTGTCTGCGGTGACTAAAGCCTGGGGTGGTGTCTGCGGTGGTGTCTGCAGTGATGGGTGGTGTCTGCAGTGATGGGTGGTGTCTGCGGTGATGTGTGCGGTGGTGTCTGCGGTGGTATCTGCGGTGGTGTCTGTGGTGACTGACGCCTGGGGTGGTGTCTGCGGTGATGTCCACAGTGACTGACGCCCGGGGTGGTGAGCTCTCAACTTTAGAGAGAGAATTGCATCCCCCTGGAGGAAGGGGTTGTGTTTACAGATCTGTCTCAGGAAGTTGCCTGGAGCTGATGAACCTCTGTCCCCTAGGAATTTTCTCAGGAAATTATCACCAGGCAACTCGTGTTCCCCTCCCTGTTCCCCTTGGGTCCTCCTAGTCCCATACTATGGGATTTTACCAGGGGCTCAGGAGCATCTGCCTGCCGGGCCGGCCGGCCTGAGTGCAGCCTCTGCTCAGCTTGTCGCCCGGCGGGGTCGAGGTGGCACCAGGAGGTCTCAGCTTCCCAGAGGAGGCTCGGGGGGCACCAGCCTGCAGCCAGGAGCAAGCCCAGCTGTCAGGTGGAGTTGCCGTGAGGCTGACGACCCCGTGGGGAATCTGAGGAACAAAAGGCTTATGAGCCAGCCAGTCTCAGAGCCTGGTTAGAGCCCGACTGTCCGCTCTGAGCGTGTCTGGGTTGTTTTCTGAATTCTTCCTTGTCTGGCGAAGGCCACATCTCTCTGATGAAATGCAGTTGAATTAAATGGATATTCCCTGAACACCTACTTTGCAGCAGGCCCGGTGCTGGGCATCAGGGAGGGAGGGAGGGAGGACGACGTAGGGACCCTCTAGGGAGCCACAGTCCAGCGGGGAAGGAGAAATGGAAATTTCATGTCGAACTCAAGACTTCGGGGCGGGCTCCTGGGAGGGATGTCCCCCCTCCCCTTGATGGGCCTGCCTTCCCCAGCCGCGGCCTTGGCCTGTGGGCTCGTCGAACATGCTCATGTACACACGCGCACACCCTACACACACACGCGCACATGCACACACATGCACACACCCTACACACACACACACCCTACACACACACACACACCCCCTACACACACACGCGCACACCCTACACACACACACACCCTACACACACACACACACCCTGTACACACACGCGCACACACGCACACACACAACCCTACACACACTCTGCACACACACGCACACACAAGCGCACACACCCTGCACACACGCGTGCACACGCAATACACGCACACATGCAACACACGTGCACACGCGCACACACGGAACACACGTGCGCACACACGACACACGCAGCACATGTAACACACATGCAACACACGCACACACACGTGCACACGCACCCTACACACGCAGCTTGCACACACACACACACACACACACACACACACTTCTCTTCTGGCCTCTTACCTGTCCCAGCTGGGAGTACCTCAGAGACAGACCTGGCCCTGGGGATCACGTCTCTCTAGTTTACTGAGGAATTGGCCAGAGCTCCACCAGCCCCGTCCACAGAACCTGCCGCTTCTCTCCCCAGAGCTCCACCAGCCGTGTCCACAGAACCTGCCTCTTCTCCCCTCAGAGCTCCACCAGCCGTGTCCCCAAAACCTCCTGCCCTTGCTCCCCAGGCCGATTCCATCCTCCCTCCCGAATTTGGGGCTTTGCCGTCCCTGCTTTTCCACTCACCTTCTATAAGGCCCTATTTTGTTCCCTCATCAGTTTAATTTTTGTTCAGGACAAATGGCCGTGTATCAGTACAAGGGCGCGGTCCCTGTTTAACGCACAAGGCACTGCTCTTAAGAGAGAAGGGTCAGACTCCCTGCCATCCATCCGAGCCCGGGAGGTGAGCGCTGGGTGGTGGTGAGCACAGTTTACCCCCTGGTGAAGGGGGTGCCGGGCGCCGGGCATGGGGATTGGCTGGTGAGGCCCTCCGTGCCGAGTCAGGGAGCTGGCAGCCAGTGCAGGCTGAAGAGGTTTGGAGAATCGAAGCTGGCTCCGTGGGCAGTTTCCTAAAATGTGCCTCCTCGAGTTGCCGTTCCTCTCCCACCATCTGTCCCAAGGTTGCTCTGTACGAGTGAAGGACAGCTGTGCCTTCGGAGGTGCCAGCCACGGCCAGGGTGGGGGTGCACAGCCGTCCCGGAGCCGGGGCCCGAATTCTCCTGGGTTCTCATGTCCGACCTCTGCTCGGGGCCACCCCTGTGAGGGTGCGTGGTCAGCCACAGACTTGCCATCGACGACGAACCTGCCCTGCCACTGCCCGTGGCCCCAGCCCTGGAGGCGACATCCTTCCGTCTCCCTTGACCTCTGCAGCGTTTGGCTCTGTGGTTCCTTTGCCCGGAAGCTACAGCAGTGAGAAGGGTGGAGACACGGAGGATACAGTTCTTGTGGCCGCCGCCTCTGTCCTGTGGACTGGGCTGGGGAGGGGCTCCGTTCCCACCTCCCACATGGGAGCAGCCAGCAGCCTCCCTCGCCTCGCTCGCCTCCCTCGCCTCCCTCGCCTCCCTCGTGGAACTCAGCAGGGTCAGAATCAGGCGTTGAAATTACCCGAGGCGGTCGCTCTGTCCGACACCTCTGTTGGGTACCGACGAGGAAACTGAGGCACGGGAAGAGAGTTGACTTGTTCCTGGACTTCTAGTAAGTTCACATAAAAGCCAAATTTTCACAGATCTCTTTTTTTTTTTTTTTTTTTTGAGATGGAGTCTCGCTTTGTTGCCCAGACTGGAGTGCAGTGGCGCGATCTCGGCTCACTGCAAGCTCCACCTTCCAGGTTCAAACGATTCTCCTGCCTCGGCCTCCTGAATAACTGGGATTACAGGTGCCCGCCACCACGCCTGGCTGATTTTTGTATTTTTAGTGGAGATGGGGTTTCTCCATGTTGCCCAGGCTGGTCTCAAACTCCTGAGCTCAGGTGACCTGCCCACCTCGGTCTCCCAAAGTGCTGGGATTCCAGGCGTGAGCCACCACGTTCAGCCTGTAAAGTGTATTTAAATGTTTACTCTGAACAGAATAGTGCTTTCCACACCCGTGTGGGGCGGTGTGGCTGCAAAGTACAAGATAACCGAAGTTTTTAAAAAACAAAGCAAAGCAAACCGTAGTGCTCTAAAGGCTGGGATGGGGCACTGGTTTAAAGTTGTCTGAGGACTGTGTCACTTTTGACCCTGTCTTTCCTTGCTTGTCCATTAGCCTCATCGGGAAGAAGATGGAGCCTACATCTGGGGGGTCCCGGGTGATCTGGGCCTGGCCATGGGGTTTCCACATTTGGCTATTTGGGGCCTGGGGCTGTCCAGGTCTCTTTGCCGAGGCAGCCCACTGGGGAGGGTCAGGTCTGATCTGGAAGAGCAGGTGCCTGGACGTGTCCCTGGGGTAGAGGGACCCGTGTGGTCAGGTGGTGGCCTAGACCCGTGTGGTCAGGTGGTGGCGGTCGGCGCGTCGTCAGGGAAACGGGTGGCCCTGGCCTAGAAAAGCAGTTCTCTGAGCTGGGGCCTCTCTGGGGGTCCCCCAACTCCCTTCCGGAGATCCACAGGGTCAGAAGTGTTTTCGTAAGAAGAGTAATGGGACCCGGTTTTATCCTCTCACAAATGTACAGAAAAGGAGAAGTTCATTGATGTGGTTTCAGATGCCGCATTGAAACTAATCTTTAAGAAACTACCATTTGTTGAGTTTGGGTGCAATATCAAAGAAAAATATTTACAATTTCTGGAAAGTAAAAAACAGTGCTCCTCTCTTCAGCCACCGTGCACATTTGTGAGGGTCTGGATGTCCTTCCTGGACTTCAGTGAAACCACCTGTCACAAATGTGTGAGTGAAGAATCGGATATGAATGTCCCGCTGTTTTTTTTGTGAAGCCAAACATTAAAAACAGTTGTAAAAATGTAAAACAATGTATTTGTCTAATTGCTTTTTAAGTGTAGTTTTTCATAAAATATGTAAATCGTGAACGTCTAAAGGGTTTTTTAAAAATTATACTTTAAGTTCTAGGGTACATGTGCACAACATGCAGGTTTGTTACATATGTATCCATGTGCCATGTTGGTGTGCTGCCCCCATTAACTCGTCATTTACATTAGGTATATCTCCTAACGGCTATCCTCCCCCCTCCCTCCTCCCCACAATAGCCGACCCGGTGTGTTTTGATGTTCCTCCTTCCTGGCCTGTCCAGGTGCATCTCACTGTTCTAATTTTTTTTTCCCGCCTATGAGTGAGACATCGAATTTTTGGTTTTTCTGTTCTTGCAATAGATTTTGTGGAGAATGATGGGTTTTCCAGGCTGCCACCAGTGTCGCCTACAAATGGACATGATACTCATCCTTTTCTTTATGGCTACCATAGTATTCCACCAGTGTATGTGGCCCACATTTTCTTATCCGAGTCTGTGTCACTGATGGACATTTTGGGGGTTTGGCGGGCCCAAGTCTTTGCTATCCTCGTGAATAGTGCCTGCAATTAAACACTACGTGTTGATGATGGTGTCTTATAGCCAGCTCACGGATTTTATAATCCTTTGGGGTATGATACCCAGTAAATTGGGACAGTGGCCTGGGTTCAAATGGCTACATCTAGCTTCTTAGATCCTTTGGGGAGGAATCGCCACACTGGTTTTTCTTCCACAATGGTTTGGAACTAGTTTACGCTTCCTTTATCCCACAGCTGCTAAAAGTGCTTCCTTATTTCGTCCACTCATCTACGCACTGTCTTGCTTTCCTGACTTTTTTTTTAGTGGATGGCCATTCTAACTTGGCTGCTGAGAATGGGGTAATCTTCATTATGGTTTTGATTTGCATTTTCCTCTGAATGGCAGGATGATGAGCATTTTTTCATGGTGCTCTGTTGGGGCCCTGTCATGAATGTCTTCTTTTTGAGAAGGTGTCTGCTTCATATCTTCTTGCCCACTTTATTGGATCGGTGATTTTTGCTTTTTTTCTCTGTATGGCGTTTATTATTTTTTTAATGAATTTTAAAGAAATTTTAAAGATTTTCTCAGTTTTCTTTGTTTAATTCTAGGTAACTAGCCAATGGTCATAGGCGCATGTTGTTCTTTTTGGATTCCTTAATTAATGTCTTTTTTTTTTTTTTTTTTTTTTTTGAAGACGCGGCAGTCTCACTCTTGGCTCGCCCAGGGCCTGGAGTGCCAATGGCACGATCCCGGCTCACTTAAACCTCCACCTCGCAGGCTTCAAGCGATTCTCCTTGCCTCACCCTCCTGAGTAGCTGGGATTACAGGGCATGTGCCATCACGCCCTGGCTAATTTTTTTTGTATTTTTAATATTCAGACCAGGGTTCACCACATGCCCAGGGGCCCTGGTCTGAACTCGACCTCAAGCAATCCTCCCGCGTTTGCGCTCCCAAATTGGGCTGGCGGGGTTACCGGGCCTGAGCCACCACATCCGACCTCGAATAATTTTTTATAGCATTTTGTTGTTGTTGTTTTTTTGAGAGAGAGTCTCGCTCTGGCACCCAGGCTGGAGTGCAGTGGCGCAGTCGTGGCTCCCTGCAGCCTCGACCTCCCGGGCTCAGACGATCTCCCGCCCAGCTTCTGGCGTAGCTGGGACCACAGGAACGCACCACGCCCAGCTAATTTTTGTTCTTTTTGTTGAGACAGGGTTTCACCACGTTGCCCAGGCTGATCTCGAACTCCTGGGCTCCGGTGACCTGCCCAGTTCAGCCTCCCAAAGTGCTGGGATTACAGGTATGAGCCACCATGTCCAGCCTATGAATGGGTTATAATTCATTTTTTCGTGGTCTGTATTGGTGCTGAAGTTGTAATTCATAGACCATAAAATTCACACTTTTAAAGGATGCAGTTCAGTGGTTTTAGTATATTCACAAAATTGTGTAACCATCACCACTGTCTAATTCTGCAACATTTTTATCACCCCAAAAAGAAGTCCTGAACCCACTGGCAGTCTGTTCCCTTTTCCTGCAGCCCCGATAACCGCTCATCACCTTCCCTCTCAGATTCGCTTATTCTGGGCACATCATATAAATGGAATCATACAGTACGTGGTCTTTTACAACTGACTTTTCTTACTTAGGATGTTTTAAAGGTTTGTCCATGATTTAGCTGGTGTTAGTACCTCATTCCTTTTTGTGGCCAAATAATAATCCCTTGTAAATAATCCATTGTACGGAAATAGCACATTTTCCTCATTCATCGGTCGGTGGATATTTTGGTTGTTACCACTTTTTGGCTGTTGTGAATAATACTGCTGAGAACTTTTGTGCACAGGTTTCGGTGAGGTCATGTCTTGGGTCTGTAACCAGGAGCAGAGTTTCTGGGTCATATGGTAAATCTGTGTTTAACATTTTGAGGAAGTGCCAAATGGATTTCAAACCTGGATATTTTTTAAGAGTGTAAAGGGGTCCTGGGTTTGAGAACCGCTGGCCCAGCTGGAATTCGACCAGGGGAGTGTGGATGACTCAGGAGAGCCCCTCATTCTTGCTCTGGGATTGAGATACCCTCAGCCTCATCCCACTCTCCCTTCAGAATGCACGTGCGGCGTCCTCACGATAGATCACCAAAGATAATCCTGTCCCTGGAGGCAAGGAGGAAGCCGGCTACACTAGACAGTGCACAGGTGACCCATCGGGGGTCCTGGAGCAGGGTCACCTCCCTGCGGGATCCCCAGATGCCATGCTCATGGCAGTGTCTATGGGCGGCACCCCTTGGCACGGTGCCGGGTGGCGATCCTGGCTGTAGCTGCCACCCCCTGCCCTCTTGCCTCCCCTCGAGGGCATTGTGACCATCGGTGTGAATCTGTTGGGAAGGAGAGCCAGGTCCCCAGGCTTGGGAGAGGTGTAGGGTTTCAGCCTGTCTGGCCATCACCCCTCAGCCCAGCCCCTCCTGCTGGGTGACGTGGTCGGGTCAGCCCCTGCTCTACTCTGGCCATCACCCCCCAGCCCAGTACCTCCTGCTGGGTGACGTGCTCAGTTTGGCCCTTGCTGTACTGGGAGGGGGCAGGGAACAGATGGCCTGCTGGGCTGAGTTGAAAACTGCTAAGGGTGTGCCTGCCCTCTCCTTTCTGAGTCTAACCCTTTGATGCCAGTCACGTTCACTCTTGGCACACGGCCACATGATCCACCTGGTCACCCTCCCAGAATCATGAGCCTTCTGAAGAGGAGTCTTGAGGAACAGTGTTTTGCTGGAGAGACGGTTCCCACAGTGAGATTCCAGGCATCCATGGGGACAACGCGTGGAGGTGCGGTGGAGGGGCTGACTGCATAGAGACCCCGTCTGCCGTCTGTACCCCAGCCAGTGATGCACTCTTTCTTCTTCCCTCCTTCATCTCAGATGTGACTCCCCTCCCCCAGCCGGGTGCCCCGAGCCATGGCCGACACCATCTTCGGCAGCGGGAATGACCAGTGGGTTTGCCCCAATGACCGGCAGCTTGCCCTTCGAGCCAAGTGAGTACCTCTGGGGCCCCCCAGGCCTTCGCTTCCTGCTGCCTCCCTGCTCTTCTCCTGTCTTTAGCAAGATTCATTCCCAGGAGCCCTGAAAGAGGTGTTTGCAGAGAAGTGCCCGTCGGATGCACACCACACTCCGGGCCCCGGACACAGCCATCCACTCATTCAACTACCGTGCAGAATTTATCCCCATTTCCCAGATGAGAAAAGTGAGGCTGAGCTCCTTGCCTACGTCACTTAACTTGTGGGTGGCAGGGCTGCGACCCGCACCTGGGTCCAGCCGACTCCTAAGCCTGGGTCCTTTCTATCACAAAAGGCCGCAGGGACCCACCTCACCTCACGTGCCTTCTCTCTTGTCACTGAGCCGTAGGGGACTGCAAGTCCCTTAAGACAGGGAGCCTTTGGTCCCTGGATGCCCAGTCATAGCTGAGTGCCTGGCACTGTGAGACGGGGGAACAAAGGTCTGTCGAATGGACGAAGAGCTGCCCCTCAGGCCGAAGCACGACCAGCCCAGAGCTGTCCCAGGGCCTTCTCCGCGCTCTCCTGAGAACCGCACCAGTTCCTCACTTCCAGTTTCTTCCCTTGGGGGTCCCGGCTTTCCTGTTTTTCTTTTTAGACTGAGTCTCACTGTGTCCCCCAGGCTGGAGGGCAGTGGCGCGATCTCAGCTCACTGCAGCCTCTGCCTCCCGGGTTCAAGCGATTCTCCTGCCTCCCGAGCAGCTGGGATTACAGGTCCCCGCCACCACGATGGGCTCGTTCATCTCTGCACACAGCAATGTCACAGGCACGGAGTGTCTCCCGGAAGCTGGCGCCCACCCGGGGCAGGGGCTCTGCGGTTTGATCTGCTGCTGCCGCTCTCTCCCTGCCCAGAAAAATAGAAGGAGTTTGAGTCCTTCCCCCGCCCCAGTTACAGCCTCAGGAGGCACCACCCCTGCAGCCCAGTGGAGCGGACAGCTCAGCCGCCGGACCCACTCCCAGCCCTGCCTCGCCGTTGCCTGCCCTCACCATAGCTCCTCTGGCGAAACTCGCTTTCCCCTCCTGCCTTGAACCTGCCAGTTTTCAGGGTGTTCATATCAACAGCTGTGTCTTTACCCTAATTACATTCCTTTCCTGTCCCCTGGTAAACTCCGTCTGACCACCTGACGGAGCTGAGAGCTCCCTTTTTCTTCTCTTGGTAATCTCTCCTGCTCCTCCCTTGACCCTCATGTGCCATGACCTTGGCCTTCTGTGTGTCCCTGAGGGTCATATTCCGTGTTTCTGCCTCCTGGGCTAAGATGGTGCTGCCGTCTTTGCCAAGGCCCAGGAGCCGGCGGATGGCAGGGCTGGTGCCTGGAGCCTGTGTCTGCCCCGTCTCTGTTGCCCGCACTCCTCGCCCCCGGCACGTAGCACCTGGGCTGTCCACTGACTGTTCTCAGGAGGGCTTGGTGGATGTGGTAGGGGCTGCGGGAGTTTGCACCGGGGAGGCCTCAACACCGTCTGTGTTACTCCCTCTCGAGGCTGCAGACAGGCTGGTCTGTGCACACCTACCAGACGGAGAAGCAGAGAAGGAACCAGCACCTCAGCCCGGCGGAGGTGGAGGCCATCCTGCAGGTCATCCAGAGGGCCGAGCGGCTGGACGTCCTGGAGCAGCAGAGGATTGGGTGAGGCGGGGCCGGAGCCAGCTCAGTGGGAGGACAGCAAGGGCTATGGTGCAAGCCCAGGGCACTGGGAGGCCGGCACTCCGGGTCCTGGTGCTGCATTTCACCTCTGGGAGGGTTCAGGAGGTCACTGGCTCTGCCTCGACACCCCGGAGTGTAACTCAGCCTGCCGGGGCCTCAGGATAGGCCTGTCAGACGGCGCTAGCGGCTGGGGTGTGCGCCCCGGCTTGGGCGCGAATGAGCGTGGTGAAGCGCCCCGGGGGCTGTTCGGCTCTGTGCACCTGCGGGGCAGCTGTGGGTCAGCCAAGGGAAGGTTCGGGTCGCCCTCGAAAGCTCCCGCAGGAGCCGCTCCCGGCCTCCGACTCCAGCGCCCACCAGAGCTCAGTCTTCCAGCACTTTCATCGTGTCCTGTGTGTGTTTAATTACAAAAGAAATTTGTATTTCCTAGAAAATCTGAAAACCACAGAAAAGCACGAGTAGGAAGAAAAAATGTGCTGGGCAGGAATCGATTTCATTCTGCTGCCTCCTGCATGTCTTTCATCTTTTCTTTTCTTTTTCTTTCTCTTTTCTTTCTTTCTTTTTTTTTTTTGAGACAGGGTCTCACTCTGTCGTGTAGATTGGAGTGCAGGGGTACGATCACGGATCGCTGCAGCCTCAACTTCCTGGGCTCAAGCGATCCCCCAACCTCAGCCTTAAGTAGCTAGAACCGCGGGTGGGTACCAGGGCACCACCACACCCAGCTT